TCGATTTTTAGTTTCAAAATCGATTATAAAAATCGATTTTAAAATATCCGATTTTCGATAATCGATTCCCATCCCTACCTAAATCTTTAGTTCTAAGCGCTTAGTTTATTTACGAAATCGGGTTCTTTTTTTTGACTTGTATTACTCGCAAAAATAAGTAAAACCCTATACATCGTTGCAAAAGTATAATCCGTCCCCACGGTTCACAATTTTGACTACGTTTTATATGTGCATGATCATGCAGTGTAACAATTTAAGTATATGAGTGATGAAAGGGAAAACCTGTAAATCATTTCACTTATTGAGTGAAATTATTTACAGGCTTTTCTTTTTCGTCACTCATATGTCATCGCATATGATTAATACCGTGCGAGGGTCAAGGTTATTTGTTGTGGTGTTTGTAAGAGACCCGGGTATAAATCAATGTTCGATTTAATAGTAACTATTTTAATATTGAGTTAAAATACTTTCCTTACAAAATACTCCCCAGATAATATAACCTCTGCCATCCAATATACCCCGGGTATAGATCAAGGTTTGTCGTTACGTACAATGTAAAATATCCGGATACCTTGCACGGTAATTTGCGGTAATCGAATGTCATATGGCTGTGCCCTCGATTATTAGTGACGCTGGAACTAACATAACTTTCTACTGTGCACAAATTCTAGAAAAGAAACCTTCCACTCATCATATTTAACATCAATTCCATTCGAATATTTATATTTAATAAACTTTTTTAGTTATGTATCTTTAATGAATATCAAATTGATATTAATGAGGCCTTGTTTATCCATTTTCTTACATTCCATAATTATTGAATTTTTACGATAAACATTGATCATAATAAAAAATGTATTTGACTATCATTTCTAAATGCATATAAAGTATTGATCGTCTGAAAAAAAATATTTGTTTATTCAACTTGTTTATCTCTTTCTTATATGCGTTTGACCTTACGTACTTGCATAATTCATGAAATGAAAACCCTGATTTTATTTATACATATATATATAACTTCTAATTATATGAATTATTATATGTGCATGAATTCAACCATAATGCAGGTTAAAACTTGAGTAAATTTTGACATCAAGCTTTCCGAAAACTTTCAAAATATTTCTATATGCGTGAAATTTAAAAAATGGTAATCTGCACATCACTAGTTATTCACCGAATATCGATGTAATTAATATATAATTATACAACCTTTACAGGGCGGCTTCGCAGCTCACATATGCAACTCAAATTTAGTTTATAGATCATATGATACTGAGTGTCACTTTTATATATGATTATTGTTAAGAAGGTTATAAATTCGGCAATGTGGCTTACAGCTTTTGCAGAATTGGATACTGAGTACAATGCTGTACCTAGTGCTGCAATTTATGAAAGCTAAGTAGTTACACGAAGACTGAATCAGGCCAAAATTTTTTTAGACCTGATTTTATATACTCAAAAAAGCATTTTTTGAATTCTTAATATTCTTTAAAAAACAATTTGCCTTTTAAAATATTTTCAGTATTAGAAAGGTAAATTTTTTAACGTTAATATAAAAAATAGTAGGTGTTCTCATTTTCCAGTAATTCATGTTTAAATGTTCTCCGAGAATATCGAATTTTAAACACTATTCAGACATATTTTGAACCTAGTCCAAATAATCACATGATATGAATTAAATGCCTTCTTTGGAATATCGAATAAAAATTTAATAAAAATGAACCAAGAACAATAGTTTTTTGACATTTTCGGCTTGAAATTTGTTACTTAAATAATTAACTTGGTTTTTACCCATTAAGTTTTTTTTTCGAATAATTGTATTTTTTGTTTGCGATCCGAGATGATACAAGAAATTGATACGGACAAGAAAGCCAAATATTCGCTCTATAACAATACTAATAAAGATTTAATCAATAATGATACTAATAAAGAATCAATCAATAACGATGTTAATAAAGATTCAATCAACAACGATGCTAATAATGATTCAATCTACAACAGTGCTAACAATGATTCAATCTACAACAATGTTAATAATGATTTAAACTACAACGACACTAATGGAAAAATTCACGATGAAGAAAAAAATATCGAAAAAAAAGCAAAAGATAATGACGTAATTGAAATGATATTAGCTGTAAGTCATCGATCCTTATTTGTTAGTTTAATATCTTTTTTGCATCTTCTTAAAATTAAATAATTAAAAAAAATTTGTTAGGCCGTTAGCACAAATGATGATCCAGCTTTACCTTGTTTGACATTTCGATATTGGGTGTTAAGTACTGTAAGTTTATGTGTGTTATGATATGAATAGTGCCAAGGGAATCAAATTTCGGGCTTTCAAGTTTATTGTTTATTATTAACTAGATTCATTCTTGAAAAGAAACATATGTAATATATAAAAGGAATATAATTTATGCATCATATATGTCTCTAGGCAGGTTTGAGTCCGGTGAATAATAAACTTGAAAGCTCAAAGTCTAATTTTTCTTGGAGTCACTTATATATAGGATGTGCAAATTGAAGATTTTTTGAATCTACTACGCAGGCTACGCAGTCTACGTAGGCCCAGATTATGATAGTTTGCTGCTAATGCGGGCAAGAATTGCGAAATTCATTCCGAACTTACGTAGCGGCCCTAGTTATTATTGTAGTTTGCGAAATTGTAGATCATCAAAAATAAAAAAGAAATACTAAGGAATTAGCAGATTGTTAGATAAATTATTTTTGACTTTTAAAATTACTTAGATGTGATGATGTGAATATTTCATCTTCAGATATCGAAGTAATTTTAAGAAATCAAATTATTTCTGAGTAATTTTATTTGAGAATTTTGCAAACCACAATAAATACACATTATAGATCATGCGTCATCCCATCTCATATAATAAACTATATTCTTAGTTTCTTTTTACTTTATAAATTATGTATCGCAGTTTTTTACAGCATTGGGTTCTGCTATATCGGTATTCTACTACTTCCGTGCAAATAGCTTGACCTATTCTATATTCTTTGTGATACTCGCATCTTACATTGCCGGTAAATGGCTGGAAAAAATCTTGCCTAATAGGATATTTCATATTAGAAATTGGGAATTTAATCTAAATCCAGGTTTATCACTTCAAATATTTATCATTATATTTGGATTTTATTAATATCTAAGTATCACGTGTAACTTTTGTGCGTGAAATTTCAGGCCCTTTTAACTATAAAGAACATGTGTGCATAACCGCTGCTGCTACTGCGGGTGGTCTTAGCGCGTATGCTGTGGTAAAATTCAACCTATTTTTTTTTGTATGTGGGATCTTTGCTAGCCACAGGATATAGTAAATCATATGTCCCGTGACTTGATTTTCCAATATTTTTTTAATGTTAAATTTTTTTTTTCATACTTATAGGATATTATCGCAATCCAAGATTTATACTATAATACTCAAGTAAATTTCTTAACTGGTTTCTTGTTACTGATTAGCACGCAAATGATTGGATATGGACTTGTCGGTTTTGTTCGAAAACGTATGTTTTATTTTCTGAGAATAAGTCTTTAAAATGTAATATTTACTCAAAACAATTGACATTTACGCTTAAAAATTTCAATTAATCTCTTAATATCATTTACATAAATCTTTTAGATTTAGTTCGTCCAATTAACATGATATGGCCTCAATCTCTCATCTTTGCTAGCATGTACAACACACTACATGGCAATATTTCGGAAACAAATGATAGAACTCGTTTTTTTTATACCACATTTTTTGCTATGTTCGCTTGGCAATTTGTACCAGGATATATCTTTCCTTGGCTTATCAGTGCTGCCTTGTTATGCCTTATTGCTCCGAATAATAACGTGGCAAAGATATTAGGAAGTTCTCATAGTGGTGCCGGAATACTTAGTTTATCCTTTGATTGGAACGCTATTGGTCAATTTTCTCCCCTGTTTACACCATGGTAATCTTTCTCTATAATTACACATTCCGTGTGCACATTATTTGATTTTTATATTTTTTATTTACTTATTTCCTTGCAATTTAGGTGGTCTCAAGTGAATTTTTACATTGGTGTTGTTTTGGCTATATGGGTTATTGCTCCCTTATTGTACTTTAATCATGTCTTGTAAGTAATTCTTTAGTTGTTTACCTCTGATTTATTGCTAATTAATTAATAACTTAATTAATAAATGAAATTAATTTGTAAATTAATTTCCTGATTTTATTTAGTGATGCCCAAAAATTTCCCTTTTCATCATCTCGTTCATTTGATAAAGATGGTAACATGTAAGTATTGTTCTTTTAATTTATTAAATTACATTAAACTTATTAACCTAAATTTATATGAATAACGATTTTATTTATGCGATTTTTTTTTATAGATATGATCAAAGAAGTATCATTGATCCACAAACCGGTGCTCTCAATGTTACTGCATACGAAAGTTATAGTCCTGTGTATATGTCCGCCGCGTTTGCCGCTTGTTATGGCTATAATTTTTTGCAAATTCCTGCGACCGTTTGTCATGTAATATTATATCATGGAAAGGAAATTTGGAATCGATATAAAAAAACTCGTGAAGAGGAAGAGAAAGATGACATTCACTGTAAATTAATGAGTGTCTATCCAGGTTAAACTAATATTTTATTTGTTTTCATTTTATTTAATTAGAAAAAAAAAACTTAAAAGATGTAATTTATATTATCAATTTTTATGCTGATAACAGAGGTACCATACTATTGGTATAGTACTATTTTCATTGTCATGTTAATAATTGCAATTATTCTTTGCTATACAACAAATGCAAATTTACCTTGGTGGGCTTTATTGCTAACTGTTGCTATAGCCATAATTATGGTACTTCCGATAGGTATAATTTTCATAATCAACTTATTCAAAATATCTTATTTGAAATATTATCTCATTATTCTTACCTACTGATAGGAATCATTCAAGCTATCTCAAATTGGTCAATTGGTTTAAATGTTATAGTTGAATTGGTGTGCGGTTTTCTTTTACCAGGAAATCCTATTGGAAACGTATATTTTAAAACTTATGGATATGTATCTTTGTTTCAATGTTTGTTATTTGTTCAAGATCTAAAATTAGGTAGTTTCCTTTTTTTTAAAAAAAAAGATTATTGTCAAGGTTATCTAATATTATTATTAAAATGTTTCTTTTAAATATTAAAAGGTCATTATATGAAAATTCCTCCGAGAAGCATGTTCACATCACAAATATGGGGTACAT